TAACAAATGTATCTTAAATTTCCCAATGCAATGAGAAAATTACTCAGTAAACAAAAATCTATTTCTCTGACTTTAACTAAGTATTTCTAAATACTTTTTTAATTACTTTAACTGACTTCATTTTATAAACGTTAAATCGTCACACACTGATTTAAGGGAAATGATCCAATGCAACAATTACATAGAATGTAAACAAATGATTTCTATTGAGTACATATTTTATATATTGCAAAACATTTCTGATCTATTTTGATTAGTTCGATATTGACTTTTATAACCATTTAACCAAATATTCCACTCAATACAAATTACTCATATTTTTCAAGAGTCCAAGAGGCAATAATTTATTCAATGCAGGATATATGAATTTACAATATTAAGAAAGAACTAACTGATAAAATTCGTATTTATATAGATGGGATTTATGAAAGCTGAGCTTTTACCTTTAATGATAAAAACTCTGCAGATTTATTTAGTCGATTTTTCTATTATCGGATGCAATATTTTGCGAAGTACTTTAGAGCTGAGTTGTATAATTAATACATATTATCTTTAACCAAATAATATATTTAATTCAGTGATTCCGTGCTCTTGACGGAAAACAATTCTCATATCGTTACCAAGAAGAATCTTATAAGGAACAGGGTCTTAACATCGTTTCATAGATAGCTGTTTGAATGATATATAAGTATGTTGAATGGATGGGAGCGGAGTCCTCTTTAATTAACAAAGATTAGATGGAGTGATATCCTCCTAAGACGATTCTCAAAGTGCAGTCATTCGAAAAACTACAATGAACTCAATGTCGCCATTTAGAAATAATAAATTTACAATTTTAATAGAACATAATATTTTCGTATTACTAATTTCGACGATTGCTTTGTTGACGAAAATAATTTGAGAAATTCATCATTTTTATACAATAAATATTTTGATATAGAAGTATAGAATGAAACGCATTAAATATGTAAATATAAGAAGAGAATAATAAATGATAAATAAAGCGGTTCGTTCGAAATAATATTTAATTCAAGGCTCGAGGTTCCTTGTAAAGAAACGGCAATCACTAATTTAGATGAATAGATAATTAACTACAGTTACAGTATTATTATTGTATTCAATTAAAGTTTTTATTTTAATAGTCAAAGCACAGGTAGTCCTGTGCTAAGAGACAAATAATCACCTCTTCTTCGTTCCGTTAAAAGTTCCCTTTTGATGGATACAAGGAAACGTCTACGACCCGGCCCCGACACTTATCCCATTTACATTTGTTTTTCATAATGACAGTTTTTAAATAGGCGACAAGTCCAGATTCAAATTACAACAAATAGCTCAATTAAAATTCATTTCGAATTGATTTACGAGAGAAACTAGCAACGAGAGAACTTAATAGAGAATTTTCCAAAAAACATAAAAAATATAAATAAATAAATGGAAATGCAAATCGGTAAATCGAAAATGCGAAACACTAACTAGTCTGCTACCACAATTTAGACTATATACATATATCATCAATCGAGATACACTATAGACAGATAATATATGATTACAATTGATATTCATCCACAGCAACGATACCGAAATGTGGCGGCTGCCACGAGCTGATCCTGGATCGCTTTATACTGAAGGTGCTGGAGAGGACCTGGCATGCGAAGTGTCTGCAGTGCAGCGAGTGCCACGCCCAGCTGAACGACAAGTGCTTCGCCCGGAACGGTCAGCTGTTCTGCAAGGAGGACTTCTTCAAGTAAGTAAATTTCTCAAACGGCTGTCGCATCGGGGCCGTCGATGTCTGTTGACCGGTTTAATGAAAATCTCCCGTTGCCCCGTTGCCAATGTTCGGGTCGAACAGACGTTATGGTACGAAGTGTTCCGCTTGTGATATGGGCATACCGCCCACCCAGGTGGTGCGTCGCGCCCAGGACAACGTCTATCATCTGCAGTGCTTCCTGTGCGCCATGTGCTCGCGCACCCTCAACACGGGCGACGAATTCTATCTGATGGAGGACCGCAAGCTCATCTGCAAGCGCGACTACGAGGAGGCCAAGGCGAAGGGTACGTTTACTCATCCTCTCCCTCACATGCGACGGACTACTTTACATTTAGCTCTCGGGCAGGTCTCTACTTGGACGGCTCTCTGGATGGTGATCAGCCCAATAAGCGGCCACGCACCACTATCACAGCCAAGCAGCTGGAGACACTGAAAACCGCATACAATAATAGTCCGAAACCCGCCCGACATGTGAGAGAGCAACTGTCGCAGGACACGGGCCTGGACATGCGGGTAGTGCAAGTGTGGTTTCAGAACAGGTGAGCTCGGGGTTGGACTGGCAAGCCCAAGAGCCGGATCTTACTCACTCCCCATTTTTTCCATTTTGCAGACGCGCCAAGGAGAAGCGACTGAAAAAGGATGCAGGACGCACGCGCTGGAGCCAATACTTCCGCTCCATGAAGGGCAACTGCTCGCCGCGCGCCGACAAATTCCTCGACAAGGACGAACTGAAAGTGGACTACGACAGCTTCAGTCATCATGGTATATATAGCCAACTCGCACTATACTAATTCGCAGCATGTTTAACTATTTAATTGCCCTTTCAGATCTTAGCAACGACAGCTACAGCACCGTCAATTTGGGCCTGGACGAGGGCGCCTCGCCGCACAGCATACGCGGCTCCTATATGCATGGCAGCTCCAGTCCCTCGCAGTATCCGCCGAGCAGTCGCTCGCCCCCAGTTCCGGGCCAAAGTCATACGTTTGGCTCCTATCCGGACAATATTGTCTACACAAATATTGGTAAGCATCTATATAAAGGTAGAGATAAATACTATAATGAACAAATAGCCAGCAAGAGGTAGATAAGTGGATTACTGTAAATAAACAGATTCAAAGATGCTTAGTCAGATAAATAGGCATAGATAGCGACATAAAAATATATCGATACGCATATATTGATTTATAGATATACAGAACTAGACATATATAGGTACTACATAAGGCATATATAACATATACATTTTCATTTGTATATATTATATGTATCCGTAGATATCTAATGGTTATTAATTGTCACTGATTTCTAGCATCTCTTCTGCTTCTTTTTCAGATCATGCAGTTGGTGCTAATTTGCACGCAAGTAAAACGCATCATCGCCTGCACAGTAGCAACAATGTATCGGATATGAGTAACGATTCTAGTCCCGATCAGGGCTATCCTGACTTTCCGCCTAGTCCTGACTCCTGGCTGGGCGACTCGGGCAGCACCAATAACAATATCAGCAACAATAATAATAATACTAACAACAACAACAATAGCAGCAGCAATGCGAATAGCACTACCAGCAACAACAACCATAGCAGTGGGTCGGCGTCCAATGCGAATGCCGCCGCCAACCCTCCTGCAACGCCTGGCGTACATTACTGATACTCAAAAATACTTTTGCGTTACTTTGAGATGCAGTCGCGAAGTCTGCTGCTCGCCGCTGCCCAACAACAACAACAGCAACAGCAACAGCAGTAGAAACACCAGCAACAACAACATAAGCATACTTCGCAGCAGCAGCGCTAGCGACGCCATTTTGAAAGCTCGCCTCTAGCTTGACAGCAGTTAACAGTGCTGAGATACTGACTAACAGTAGGCTAACAGCGTTGGGCGTCAGAGTAACAACTGAAAAGCTTTATAGTTAACAGCGTGAGCTTTTGTTTTATCGCTGACTGCATTTATCCATATTCACTACTTTTTTTTTACTTTTACTAACGTAACACTATTTGCTCAAGTTTCCGTATTTCATTAAGTTTTCATAAATATGGAAGATAACGAACATGCGTATATGTATCAATGTTCGATGCTTTAAATCAAACTGGCTTAAATAATAATGAATATGTTGATTACATCTACTTCCTTGACCGCTTTTGTTTGTACTTTGAACTTTGATATTTTAGTGTAATGTAAATATTGTATATTTGTGTATAGTAAAGAGAAGAACTACATTTTAAATTAAACTAAGTCTGTATAGGGTCATACAAAGATTGGGGGGACAGTGCACAACACTTATTAAGCTGAGCTCCCAAACAAGTTATTTATTGCTTTATATAGGAATACATGAATTGCATAGGAGAAATATCAATTACGAAAAAGTGATGTCGTATATACATACATACATATATCTAAAAACACAAAAAAAATTATAAAACAAAATAATATACAAAAACAAAAAATAAGAAAAAATAAAAACATGAAAAAGATTTCAAGCAAATAGAAATTTCAGCAAAATGCAAACTACGTAAAACAAATGATAACGAATTTTTAAATTTATTGTGTATTACAATAAGTTTAAAAAATTCAAATAAATGCGATAAAATAATTACTATTTGACATGTAAGAATAAATGATACAACAATTGTTAAATCTTTCGTCTTTTCATATCTCTCCCCCCATAAATAGTTGACTTCGAAATTAAGTTAAGAATTGTGCGGGCTCGTGTCTTCGTGGAAAAGACTGGAAACACGCATAGTTTAATTTAAGCTTTCTAAACGCAGGACTATTGATTCCGTTTTTAACGGAATTAATGCAATTTATTGATAGTCAATTTTATTTTCTTTTATGTTCTATCGACCGTTACACTGCAAAAGAATTTCCCTATTATATTTCAAAGTCATGACTCAAATCGATGATCGTTGCCTTCTGCTTTCTTTAGAATGCAACGCTCTCGCTGTGCTCTCATTATGTCTCTCTCTCTCTCACTCTCCCCGTATCAATGTCATACGTTCCTTCTACTATTTCATTCATACCAATTCTTTTCAACAAATATATCCCATTAGCATTATTTAGCGCGCTCTCTTCTCTTTCCGCTTTCTTTGAACTGCACTGCTCTCCGTTCATCTCTCTATCGTACGCTCCTTCTACTATTTGATTCATGGAGAGTGTGCCGCGCCGCCTTGCTGGTGGTACATCTGTTCGGAAGCTCTGCCGTTCTGCTTTGGTGGCCTGTCTTCTGTTGTTCTCAGTCTCTTTTCTAACGTTCGCGCAACGACATTGACTATCGAGAGAGCTTTTTGCTGCGCAGGGCGCCTTAACTTACTTAACTTATTTAGTCGATTGCAATTATATAAAAATGCTTAAATAATGGTTTCCCAAATCAATTTTGCAATTAATAAAAGCTATCATAACATTACGGTGCGTGCGGTAATTCAATTTCTATAAAAAGCTATCCAAGCCCTCTTTCCAATTTTGTTTTTATTGTTCGTGTACCCGTATGCGTATTTCTCTCTCTATCTGTGTGCGTGTGTTTGAATGTGTGACAGAAAATGTGCTGCCAAATCGAAATTCAAATGTCGTAAAATGTTCTATTTTTATTTTGCAGTAAACTACATACAACAAGCGCAGCTAGAGTCCGTTGTTGTTGTTGTTCTGCTGTGTGTGAGATGCAGATGTGTAATATGTTTTTGTTTTTGTTGCGACGCCAAATTGCATTTGCGGCCGATACGCCGCTCGATCCTTAAACACGACATATCGGATACAACGGCCACAGCCACAGCCACAGTCAAAAGAACTCCCTGTTTTTTAACTCGTAACCAACTACTAGAGAGCCGCATCCGCTCCGTGCGTTTACCAATAATGCAAATTCAATGTATGCCAATATTTCAAGTAATTTTCGTGCTCTCAACAATTGTCGCAGTCACAGGTAACACGGCAAAAGCGTTGCCACATCAATGCAAAATGCAGTGCAGCTGTTTATTTATGACTCTCCCACTCTCTCTCGCTCTCTCCTTTTCGGCTCTCTCTTCTGCAAACAGATTGTTGTTCGAGCCGGATTTTACTGTTGCGCCAGCAAACACTGCAAATTGAGGAGCATGTCGTCCAATTGGTAAACCAATTGGAGCTACAGCAACAACTCAATCTCGATGGGCAGCCCTCTGCAACGGATATATTCGCCGATACAGCTCAAATGCTACAAGTATCATCGGCTCTGGATATTGACGGCGAATTGGCAACAATTGCGACAACGGAGCGCGATAGTAACACAGGCATAGCGTCCTGGTTCCATGACGAAGAAACAACTACGACGACAACAACAACAGCAACAAAAACTACCATGCCTATCACGACCACAAGCTCAGCAGCAATATCATCCACAACAGTGTCAACAACTGTAAATACAATGGCCACGGGGGAACCGCCGCCCGATGAGCGCACGCCCCAACTGGCAACAGACGCCACAATTTCTGAAGCGGGCGAAACGCTGCAAACGACGACGACAAATAAGAGAACAGAAGCAACCACCGCAGAAGCAGAAACAGCAACGACAGGAACAGCAGAAGCAACAACAACAATGACAACAACCAACTCGGAAGACTTGAGCTTTAAGCTGCCCTGCAGCAATACCTATATGAAGTACTTTTGTCTTAACGGCGGTAACTGCTTTCGCTGGGCCGAGAGCGAGAACGGTTTTAGCTATTGCGTGTGCGCCGTTGGCTTCGTGGGCGAACGCTGCGACTCAAAGACTGAAAACGGTAAGCAACATCAATAAAACCTTTGGCTACATTGATAAATGTATATATAAATAATATATTTATTATGCTTTGCCATTGCAGGAGTATATGTACCGTTGCGTCCCAGCACACCCGAGCCCCAGCTGAAGACGGCGCACATCGTTTTCTCTTTCCCCATGCTCATGTTGCTCTCCACGATTTACGTGCTCTTCGGCGCAATGTTTGTGTTGCGCAATGTGTCCGCGCAACGGCGAAAGCAACAACAGTTGCACTTGCACAAGCAGCGCTTTTTCGTCAGCTGTTAATAGAGCTGTTAAAACAGAAACGGCCGGGCTGCCAACTTGTTTATCGCTCTTTCACTTTTGTTTTTGTGGTTCGCTAAGGGAACCAACATTTGACGCGATTTAAATTTTGGAAACGGATTTTTGTTTCACCACTTTGCTATAAATGCCACTTGATGCATTTTTCCTTTATCTTCTACGATTCATTCTTTCTTTACGTTGCGCAACGCTTTAATTTATTTAATTACATTATAATTGTTTTCGTAAATTCTTTGTATTTAGTTGCAAAAAAGAGCGCTCTTTTCTATAGAAGCTTCAATTTAAGCTTAGTAGATTTTGTTTTGTAGTAACATTTTGTTACGCTATTAGTATGTAGCTAATATTTAAACTTTAGCGTTATCACTGTTATTATTGATAATTTTTTTTCTTCATTTTGTAACACTTTGTTACGCAACACAAAAAAACGAACAAATATTGTAAATTAACAAATACTTTTTGTATTGCATTAAAAACTTTGGGACTCAAAAGTTTTATAAAACTTTAAATCTGGCTGTTTACTTTTTATATATTAATATCGATTTGTATATATGTATGAGTGTATAAATGTTCATAAGAGGCAGCTCTTGCTCTTAACCACATATATGTATGTATATCTATCCATCAATATCAAACCTCAAGTTCAGTTTAGTGGAGCACACTTGCGTTTTATATTTTATAATATATATTTATCCAATATTTCGTCCAAAAATTCTTTACAAATTTCTTAGAACTTACAGTTAAATGTATAGTAGAAATTATTCAAAAAATTCTTAATTTCATCATTTCATGGATGATTTCCTTTTCGTTTTCACTTTTTATCATGATCATCAATATGATAATGGTATGTATGCGTGTATGTGAGTGTGTGTGAGAGAGAGGGTATGTGTAAAAGGGCGTGTGTGTATATGTTTTCTTATAAATGCGTTTTTTTCATGAATTATACGAATATACGTGATTTGTGGTGCATCAATTGGACCAACACTTGAAAACCGTTTCCTCGTCTATTGGTGGGCGATGGATTTGGAGGTGGAGACGTGTGTGCGTATGTGTGTTTGTTAGTTAGTGTATTAGTGTAGTCGTATATTCCGTTTGTTTCATTTGCTCTTGAATATATGCTCATGTAATCTTGGATTAGGGATATGAAATTCGTACAAAAATGATTAAAATATGTAAATGTTAAAAGTGTATTTTTGCTTTTTTTTTTTTTTTGCTCTCGTGTTGTATCTTTTAATTGTTGGTTTTACGTTGCGTTGTTTTCTTATTTGATTTATCGTGTTTTTTTCTTATTTTTCTTTTGTTTTTTTAATAATATGTAATATATATAATAATTATTAGTATTATTCGCATGTCACGGCCAGGTCCTGTGTTGTAACATCTGCCGCGGCGTTCTTCTCCTTCAGATCCTTGGCGATATCCTAAAAAAAAAACGTGTATTTATTAATATTTAGTAACATTATATATACATATATAGAGGTTTATACGAAACAAATGTTTGATTCAATATAGAATTGGGATATGAACACAAGGAGGAAGAAAAAGCAACTCAAAGCACAACAACAACAATTTATGGATTACATGGCAATGATCCTTGCCAACGATTAAACAACGAAAATGATAGCAAAAAATAAATAAAAGTATCGAAAAATAATCGAAATTAAAATAAAGTACGGATTGTAAAGTCTGCGTTTAAATGCGTTAACTGCGGCCAAACAGAGTTTGTTAGAGATGGGATAACTGGAATTAGACTGGAATTCTGTGCATGGAAGTTTGTGCGTGTATTCGTGTGTGTGTTTTGTTTGTTTGTTGGAGTGTGTGTGTGTGTGTGCGTTGTTTATTTGTGTGCAGGAAGTTGGGGGATATGGGTAGATATATAGAAGGCGTCAGTTTAAGTTTATGGTTTGTTAATATTGAAGTGCATGTAGAGTCAACAGCACTGTTTACGTTTCACAAATGGGCGCCTTTTGATTTTAGTAACATTCCAATTTACATTCCATTCACATATACATTCACAAGTTCATGCAGTTAGTTACTGGCATAGCGAGCATAACAGGGCCTCTTAGCATTAGCTTTAACAGACTACACTGCAGAATGAGCTGCTGCAGCTTAACAGAAGCAGTCATGTACAGTAACATTTACAATCAGAGTTTACTGCTTGCTACATAAACAACAACAACTGAGATGCATGGGAGAAGCACAGAAAGAGCAGAGATCAGATAGCAGTGAGCAGTGGAAAAATAACAGTAATAGAAATAGAGGAGCCCAACGCAGGAATTTTTGGAATTATTTCATATGACGCATCTCTGACTGCTGTGGTGAGTGAGCGATTGAGCGAGCGACGAATGTTAAAATTCATTTACGTATATAAATGTCTATGGGGAAGTGTGGTGAAGTTGAGAGTTGAGTTTTGATTGAGTTCGATTGTTATTCACCTCATGATGAGCAGCATCTACTTCAATGTCCGCTGGCGCAAGCAGCTTATCTATACTCTGCTTGTCGCTAATAACATTTTCATTATCATTAACGTTCTCGTTCTCGTTATCATTATCGGTACCAGTGGTAGTATCCTTATTCTTTTCCGTCTCCTCTAGCTGCTGTACAATGGGTTCTTTGTCATCATTCCCCCGCAAACTGGATTCATCTACCACACGAGCATTGTCTTCGCTATTTTTCACATCCTCGGACTGTTCTTCTTCCTGGCTGATGATCTTCGCCTCAAGATCGGATTCAATAATCGGTTGCTCTGGCTGCACGGATTCCAACTCCTTCTGGCTGATCGTAGCTGCATTCGTTAATTGATCTTGTCCAATGTCTTCGTTATCATCCTCATCCACATCTGTGATGATCTTAGCACTTGAACTTCTTAGCTGCTCAGCGACAGCCTCCTCGTCATCGTCAATTATGGATGAGCTCTGTTTATCCTGCTCCGTTGCAATGTCTGCTGCCTGTTCGGTGATTTCGTTCACAATGGCTTGCGCCTGATTCTCAATGTCTGCCAAGAGTGGATCTTGCTCCACCACGGCTGGCGGAGGTGGTGGTAGCACAACCTCCTGCTCTTGCTTTGTTTCCTCTTTCACGAACTTGTCATCGTCCTCGTTGTCCTGCGTTTCTTCGTCTGTGGTCAGTGCAAATGCCGAAACACGCGACGGTGGCGGGGACTTGGGCAGTGGTGGCGGCTGACTGAACTCAACGGCCACCACATCAGGTTCGCCACTGTCTTCGGCGACAGAAACGGGGACATCGGGCTTGGACTCTGCTACGAATTGAGTTGTTTCGGTTAGAGGTTCTACACTGGGCACAGGGGAAACTGAAATCGGGGACTCAGCTGCTGCCTCTGCTGCTGGTGGTTCAAGTGGGGACTCAGCTGTTGCTGCTGCTGTTGGCTGCGGTGCAATCAAGACAAACCCCTCGGAATCGGAGCTCTCACTAACAGCCGCTATAATAGCGGCAACCACTTGTTCTTCTTCGGCGACATCCGCTTGCACTTCGTCCTGGGCTTGGGAGGTGGGAAGATAAGCGGAATTGTCGGTGGTTGTGTCGGTTGTGTTAGGTGGTAATGTGTTATTTTGGGAGTTGGCTTGTTGGGTCTGAACTAACTCTGCGGCTGCAATTGTTTCGGTCTCTGTGGGTTTTTCAGTGTTGTTCTCAGTGGCGTTTGTTGTTGTTGTTGTTGTGGTAATCGTATTTACAGTGTTGTTTGTGTTGTCTAGTTGTTGTTTTACCTCAATTTGCGACTTGTTCTTAATTTGCTCGGCATCAGACTCGACAGTGACAGGAGTTGGCGGTGGCGTGGCTGTCTCGTTGGTCTCAGCCACTCCATTCGTGCCGTTCTGATGGTGCGACTCATCATCCACATTGTTGCTGGAGGTTGCTGATGCTGCTGCCGCCTCTGGCTCGGTTGGAGTTTCGGCCAAACCGTTCTTGTCCCCATTGGTCAATTGTGGCTCGTCTGCACCGCCATGACCATTGGTAACAACTTCGGTGGTTTCATTCTTGTTGCTAACGGGCTCTGGGATCGGGCTTGGCTGTTCGACTGGCTCATCTACTTTCGGCGGCTCGGCAGTGGCGGTGGTGCTTGAGCTCTCTGACTTGGCCGCCGTCTGCTCCTCGCCTACTGTTGCTGGCGCCGCAGACTTCTCATCGCCATTCGCCTGTTTCTTTTCCTCCTGTTTTTCCTGTTCGCTGGCTGCGCCATTCTCGGTGGGTTTGGCGGCTTCAGCCACAGGCGATGCCGGCGCAGCTGCAGCTGTTGCGTCCGCGCTTGGCTGCTAACAACGAATATATAAGTATATATAGACATAGTTTTAGTTTTAGTGAAGTTTACCTCTGCTTTGTCAGCGGCGGCTGCAGCTGCTCCTTCGGCTGCGTCTGCTGGTCGCTCCGCCTCGCCATTCGTGGCAACTGTCTCTGCCGTTGCTGCAGCAGCTGTTGGGGATGCAGGCTCCTCTGTCTTGGCTGGCTTCTGTTTGTCCTTCTTGCCAAACGATATGCTACGGAATGACCACTTCTTTTTCACCTTATCCTTCTTCGACTTGGACTTGATACTCTCATCGGCCAGTGGCGAGATTTCCTCTTCTTTGGGGGAGCCAGATGCCGCTGCCGCCTCATCCTTGGCAGCATCAGCACTCGCATCGCCAGCGGCTCCATCGCCTTTAGCTGCAGCATCTGCTCCTCCTGCTGCTGCTGCTGCTGCTGCCTTCTTCTCGGTGGTTAGATCTTTGTCGTTCTCAGAGTTCTCTTCGGTCTGCTTTTTCTGCAATCACAATTAGAAATGGGGAGACTCGTTTTGAAGCTCGTTTCGTAATTGCGTGCTCGCTCGAGTTGCTTACCTCGCCCGCTGCAGCCGCATCCTCGTTCTCTTCCTTTGGCGTCGCCGCATCGCCATTTAATGCGGGCGCCGCCGACGTTTGATCGACATCTTCAATTTTCTCAACTTTGCCAGCGACTTCGTCGCCCTCGCCAACCTTCTTCGGATCGGTGGTAATATCAATTGATCGCTTGCTCTGAGCTTTACCCATTTTTGCTGGTCCTCTACTTTAATTGCTAATTGGTTCTGTGTCTGTTCTGTAAATAGATGCGGGTGGTGCGCGACAAGAATTTAGGAAATAACATAAGTCAATTGTCTCTTTGTTTTCTATGTTTTCAATCAATATACATATGTATGTATATAGATATAAATGTCTATAAATACATATGTTTTAATTTATTTTCATTTCTGTCTGTATATTCTGTATTCATAGTATATATTTATCTATCTGTTTGGTTCATCGGAAGTGTCGATTAGCGAGAAATAGCAACGCACACTTTACAAAATCCACTTTGCTATTTTATTTTTACATTTGACATTTCAATGCACGCCAACTTTCAATGCAGCAAACAACAAAGCAAAATCAAAATATGTGTACATACATATGTATGTACATATACGCATGCAGCATATACGCATACATGCATGTAGATGTACACAAAAGCATGTGTAAATATGTACATATTTATGTGTACATATTTACACATGCTTTTGTGTACATCTACAGACCTGCGCTGGGCTGATAAGGCACGCAGTCCACAGATGCGAAATAAATACATACATATGTATGTATGTATAGGCACAGTGGCTCACAGCTGAACTGAATCAGCACCTTAAAATATTGTGACATCGTACAAATTTACCTCTTTTATTTTTCAAACCTTTTATTATAATATTAAAATTTTATTTTACTCTAATAAAACATAATAATGATAATAAAACAAATATTTAGTTTGACCCGGCTTCTCTGGTCAACAATCTTGTTGAGCCCTTTTGGCGTAGATGGCTAGTTGAAATAAGCTTGGAACCACTGTAAGTTTATATGTGTAGACATACATACATATGTAAGTATTTATTCTCCAATAAATCTTTTCTGCATTTGCTTTGTTTTTCCTAAATAACGAAAAATCAGATTACGCTGCCACTCCCAAATAAACAACTATTATAATCGAATTACTTATACATATATAAGGCCAAAGCAATCACTCATGATTGAAAGCAAGCCTTAAGCCGAAAGCAAATTCTCGAAATTTGCATGATAGGCGGCGTTTCTAGGCTTAGGGTTGCTGCTTGATAAGAAATTCGCTTAATCTGCAACTTTGCTACGATTTCTAGTGCATTTAACTGTTGTTTATAAATAGCAAATCAAAGTATTTTTATTTATGGAAAAAGAACAATAATTAATTTTAAATAAATAGGGATTAAATACATATTTATACTTTGCATTATTTAATGTTTTAAATTTATTTATACATTTTGTATTTAAGCCAAGCATCTTTTACGTATTTACAGTACATTTTCGGTACATTTGCACCTGCTCGCTGCGTGATTTTCAAATGTCAACGATAGCGAATATTGTTTGACTCACGTTCACAACTACAAACACAGGTACACATACATACATACATACATACAACATACATACATACGTATGTGCATGCAACGAATATCGCACATCTCTATGAAGATCTACGTTCAGTGTCTTTACAATATCTACGTAGGCGTATAACGGTTAGCTGTTATACATACTATAGCATATGTATAGCTCTATCAGCTCATCCGCTTATCAGACGTCGCCGAAAGACAAAGCAATAAAAATGATGAAAAACGCAAGTGAATAATACTAATATAAGCAGCTATCATGAAATTGTTTTGACCGGCAAATGATTCATCAAATCCAGGAAATATTTATGAAGCAACACATGACGAAGACGACGACGATGGCGACAGAGGCTGACACATGTTTGTGTGTGAGAGAGTGAGATGGAGAGCGAAAGCGGGCGCGGCATTACTTCTTCTTCTTCTTAGGGCTGGCGTACTATGCGTCACTTTCAAAATCGAATTACTCGCCTCGGCACGCCTCGGCTCGGCGAAATGAAACAGAAACCCAACCACAGAATTTTAATCGTAGCAAGAGACGGACGAAAGTCCAAATGGGTGGCAAGGGCAGCGGCAGCAAAAGGGAAGCTTGCGCTTGAGCGCAAACTTTAAAAAAGAAGGTTGTTGCAATTTTAGGGGTTGAAAAGTACAAAAAAAAAATTAAATAAAATAAAATTTGACCATGCAGCATATACCAAGACCGGCTGTCGAGGACCTTTTTGCACGAAAGCTATGTATATTTATATATACCTATGTATATACCTAGTATGTATGTTTATATATTTCTGTTTCATATACCGTTTCAAACCGCTGTTTGTGAATAGCTTTTCAGTTAAATTTCTTCTATCCATTTGACAAGTTCACATACATTTAAAATATTTCTATAAATCATATCATAATCTGCTAGGTATAAACATAACTACTTTTTCAGATATGCATATGTATATTTCTCTAGATGCTCACAATCACAACTTAATCACTGCTCAGCACAATCATTGACCGTTCGCCGTTATAGAGGTCGCACTGTAGTTGCGTACATGCCATGCGTACACGTGTGTATTTAAATTGCTTTATTGAATGCGAACGAGGCAAATGAAACTGAAACGAAACATTTTAAGAGCAATCATCACATTTCACATTCCGCTTCTCGCTGTTCCGCTGTGCCGCCGTTCAATGAACCCAACCACCCATCAAATACACCAAACACCTCTGTGCTTTCGAATGTTTTCGGACTCACCTCCAGATTAATATAAGTGAATCTAAGCAAATTTGACGCTAGCTAACACACACATACGCTCACTTACCGAAAACATATCAAAAGAAAACAATGTGAGGCAGCAATTAATTTGATCGTATAAATTCAAATTAAATATCCAAGCGTTTCGAACAGAATATCTACATGTATATATACATACATATTTGTACACTTGTATGTATGTGTACGTACATACATATATGCAAAAATGTTGATGAGTAATCGCAAGAATATGCCAACACACAAACACACATACACAGCGGTAAACACAGGTGTAGTCGTAACTCAACCCTTACCAAAATAGACAGCACAATAACCAAGCTAAAGCAGCCCTGGAATTACCAACAGCAGAATAAAAGCGCAAGTAAAATTGCGGTATGACGCATCCAGCAAGTAAAAAGGACAACGGAACAAGGACAATGCGCGAGAAGAGGGTTGCCGGCCGGCGTTTCATTGCTACTACTACAACTTCTATTACTACTACAACTACTACTACGACGATTACTACTACGTTTACACAACGTGCAGCAGCAACAACACCGACCACGGTCATTGCCCGCCGTCGTCGTCGTCGTTGCCATGGCAACGGTGCTCAACGACGCTAACGTTTGCGTCGACGCTACGTCACAGCCAGGCAGTGGCGCCGCCAATGGGGGGCGTGTGAAAATTCTTGAGCGCCGCCGCGGCCCACATAAGGCACATCAAAAATGTGACAGCGTTGCCAGACTGACGGCACACGACATGACATGCAGAAAAATGCGATGCGATGCGATGCAAAGTAATTACAAGATTAACACGATAGGCACGAAATTTACATACCTACAGCGCACTTAACCTCAACATGTACGTTAATGATTGACAGCCGTTCAAATTACTTAATTTAGACTGCGTCGGTATTGCTAAAAAGACTTTTGGCCTCTATTAGTTAAATTCAATTTAAACTTGACCTTTGATATGTCACAGACTCTCTCTGTCACACACATACACAAACAGTGACCAAAACCTCTCACAGCTATTACTTTTAAGCCGCGTCTTTGTGTGCAGCAAAAGAAAATTTATAAACCAAGGAACAAAGGAAAGCAAAGACCATACTCATACACATACACACACGCAAGCAAGACAGGCGCAAAGTAATGTCGTCTATAAATAAAAGCGCATTTATCAACAATGAAGCATGTTCGAAATGCAACAACAGCAACACAAAGAGCTAGCTATGTACATCCGTATATACAATATGTACATACATACACATCGTATGTTTGGGCGTGAGTGTGTGTGTGTGTGTGTGCATGTGTTCAATTGTCTGCTCTCTATCAATTTTGACACTTTAAGCTGTTATACTGCTGCTGCGGCTGCGCTTTCAATTTGACGCCTCCTTCCCTTCCCTAATTCGCCTCACCCTGCCCGCTGGCTCCCATCACTAAAAGATCGCAGCCATCAGAGAAGCCAGACGAAACGTAAATTAAATTGATTGTGCAGGAATGCGTACACACTAGAGCCCGGAGCTGGCCAACTGGACAAACATTAATTTCATGTCATGCTACACACAAAATACACTATAAATATATTGATGTGTGTGTATGTGTGTGTGCTTGTATGCGCATACCATACAGATTCCAGTTGGGATTCCAGTTGCATTGTCGTGCAATTGTGTAGGGCATTTATAGCATTTATAACGCTGGGAACGTGGTAAGTGCGCGCGCTGTTTGAGCACAAACCCGACGTAATTGAACTTTTATAAACTAATCAAACGAACGCCCACAGTCTCCTCAAGCAGTAGCCCTCTGCTCTTCACTCCTCTATGCACGCACTTGGCAGCTGACACAAACACACTCACACACACACACACACACACACAGAGAGAGGCAGACAGACAGACATAAGAGCGCATCAAGATGCTCATTCCTTTCAATTTCTTCAATCAGCCGCCAGGCGGCGACAGTTGCATGCTCAAATATATAAGTATGTGTGTAAGTATAAGTGAACTATAATAAGAAAAGGAGCGAAGTGCAGTAGACAACAATAAAATACAGACGCAAGCGCACACGCACACACCCACACGTATGTACAGTGATACAAGTGCAAGCATTGCATATTTGTCAATGCTATTTGATACACATGCATGTGTGTACGTGTGTGTTTGTATTCCTGCTACTGATAAGCCACGCCTAAATATAGCCAATACAAAACATACATACGTACATACATACATCAATATACAAACACATATAAAATGCACTCAAGCACAACAAATGCACAAATTGTGAAGAGAAAAAAATAAGACAACAATTTTGTGGCCCACGCAGCAAAAGACAACGACAACAAATTAAGAGAGAGGAGAAGAGCACTCAGAGAATATTGTGCAAAAAAAGCAGAAAACAGCAATACACGAAAACGAAGACT